GGCATCTAATCTTTGCTTTTGTTTGTGTAAAACCTTTTTAATTTAATATAATCTAAATTATCCATTTTCTATCCCGTAATGTTGTCTATCTTGTTTGGTCATAGATTCTTCCCTTCTCCAAAGGTCTGACAGTGCTTTCCTAAATTTGCTTATGGTATCACCCCCTATGTTAAATCATGTAATCCATTCTGCTATCTACTTCTGTTTTACGGGTGAGTTCATCCCATTCATATTCACATCTGTGATTATTAACTGTGTATTTCTCTCTATCCTACTTTTCTCCCTGTTTATCCTTCTCTCTCTCCCTCCCTGTCTCTCTCTCCCCCTCTCTCTCCTTTCACCTTGCCCCTCCTCAAAAGTCTTGCTTCTCACCACAGCCTCCCCTAACCCACCCTTTTTTCTTTCATCCTCCCTTCTCATATTCTCCTCCCCTGCTACTTCCTGGTAGAGTAAGATCGATTTCTATACCCAACTGAGTGTATATGTTATTCCCTCTTTGAGCCAATTCTGATGAGAGTAAGATTCAAGCATTTCCCACCATGCCCCTATCTTCCCCTTCACTGTAAAAGCTCTTTTGTGCCTCTTTTATGTGAGATTCTGTTTCTCACTTCCCCTTTTCCCCAGTGCATCCCTATTTCTCCCTCCTTAATTTTTTGATTTTTTTAAATTTTTAGTAGTATTTTATATTTTCCAATTCCATGTAAAGATCATTTTCAGCATTCATTTTTTATAAGAATCTGAGTCCCAAATTTTCTCTCTCCCTCCCCCAGATGGCAAGCAATCTGACATAGGTCATCTACGTGTGCAATCATGTTAAACATATTTAAACATTACTCACTTCTTAATTTAAATTTTTTTTCATAGTGAGTGAGACAATGTGAGATCTCTCAGATGGACTGAGTGTATCAGTTTTGTAGACTGTTACAAACTCAAGGTTGGTTACACTAGCCTGAATAGGCCCAAGTTTCAAGTTCCTAGAAAAACACATGATCTGTACTGTTACATTAGTGTTAGGTAATGGCTAATGCTAAATAAGGATAAAATAGCTAGGATTGCTAGTATTATAATGAGATTCCTTGTTTCTGGGGTAGATTTTCGCATTTTAGATTGTAAGGGTGAAATTCCTGTCCAATGGGAATTTACAGCCAGTGGTGGGTGGGTGTCTTTGTGTTAGGACTATATAACCTTTGTTCTGACCTTGCTTCGCTCGGTCTGCGGGACGAAGCAGGCTCCCGCTTCTCCAAGAACATAATAAATCTTTCACTTTATACCTAGAAAATCTCCGAGTGTTATTTTTGGGTAACTGTAGCACACAGTATTTGGTGCATTGACCGGGAAAACGTGACCAGGTGGAAGGACAGAGTCCTGGGCCTCTTGGGGCGGCGCACCCTGCCTCTATTTTAGGCAGCCCATGCAGCTTGGGATTTCTTCCCCTTCCACCAGGTGAGGTGACCCGAAGCGGAGAGACTAGGTGTATAGTGAAAATAAAAGAGAGGACTCTGCGGCAAATCCCGACCATCGGTGTAGACAGAGCAGTCAGGTAACTTGTGTGCACATGGCCCAAGATAAGCACCTAGGGGACCCTTGAGTCAAGCGTTTACCGACTCTGGAAGGGGTGCCCCAGATAGGAAGGCTCTTGGGTGACTGAGAGGTGGAGGAGACTCCCCTGTGATTGGGCGTAGGAACCGGGGGAGTTCGTCAATATTGAAATGGGCAGGCTCAGTCCAAGCTGCTCTCTGCAGAGATTGAAATTAAAAGAATACCGGTAAATAGTCCCTTGGGAAATAAATTAAGTAATTGGAATGAGTTGCCAAAATATAAAGGGAAAGATAAAAGCACCTAGGGGACCCTTGAGTCAAGCATTTATCAACTCTGGAAGGGGTGCCCCGGATAGGATAAAGGGAAAGATAAAAGAGAAATGATTATATATTGTTGTTTTGTTTGGGGTAATAAAGATATTGGGAGTGGCACGATTTGGCCCTATTATGGCTAGGCTGAAGACTGGGTGTGCCAGAAATTAAATTTATTTGTGAATGAAAAGGATCCTGTGGACCCGGAGGAAGTGATATATGCTGGTTTATGGCTTCCAGGGAGCAGGATGTTTTTGAGTGAAAATAAATCTAAGAAAGAGGATAATAAGGAGGGGGAGGTAGTGTCTCAGGAGGGATGGGATCCATTGTCGGCTCTTCCACCCCCCCATGCAATACCCCCTCAGGGGCCGGAGGTTCCAGCTTCCCCCAAAAAAAAAATAATAATACTGTATTATTTAGCTTATATGATTAGTAGGGGATTTCTGATAAGTTTCTCGCTTTTGGATTCTCCCTGTCATTTTGTTCTATGTTTGTTTGTGTCTGTGGTAATGATGGTCTGTGATTAATGTCTGTGAGTTGTTGATCCTTTACTGCCAGGCAGCCAAGGGCTGCAACTGGATTCCGAAATACTGCTAGTAACTTTCTCCCCTTCCCCCCTCCCTAATACCAGCCGCATTCCCGGGAGCAGGTGGATGGGGGAGAGAATGGGGGGAAAAAAAAATAATATATATTATATATATATATATATATATATATATATATACACTTTATTATTTAGGTTATATGATTGACGATCCTCCTCAATTTGCTTTTTACCAAAGTGTCAGGTCAGAATTAGAAAGAAACAAGGTATGTGTAGTTTTAAAGGGACTTGAATCAAAGTCCATCAGAGGGATAATTAGGTAGAAGGAAGGCAAGAAGGTTTAAGCATGTAGGAGAGAGGAGTATGTGTAGGAAGCTTAGGGAAGGTATAATTTGTTTGCACAGTGTGAATAGAGGTTTTAAAAGTAAAAAAGTTTGGAAACTCTTGAAGAGTTGTTGGAAAATATTCTTTTCCTAAGGTGGATGGAAGAGAGAGAGATAAGGAGGAAAGGAGAGTGCTCAGATCAAAGGGAGGCAGGCTAAATAACTCTTTAACCATTGCCTGCCTTATATAAAAGAGTAAAGTTTTTGTGTACCAGAACAGGAACAAAAGGTAATGTATGGGCAGCCAGAGGCTGTGCTAAATGAAATGTGATGTTCATAATTTATTACATTGTTTGGTATTAAGATTAATTGGGAAAATGTAAGAATCTGCAAACTGTTAAACTTTGGCATTGTTATGTCAAGTGGCTTTTCATAATTTGAATGTTATTAAAGTAAATTGAAAGAAACTAAAAAATATATATATAGAGAGAGAGAGAGTGGGAAAAGATCCAGGCTCTTAAGGCAGGGATTAGTGGTCGTGGGGAAGTCTAGACCTTGAAGAGCCTTGATTGGGAGTGGCCCCAGGAGACTGCTGGACCTGGTAAAGGGGTCTAGAAAGAAAGAAAGATTTTTTATTGGGTCTGTTTTAAGTTTTTAACATACTGCTTACAGATTTCTGAATTTTCTTATGTGATGTAATCCAGTAAGCAGTTGTATTAGTTGTGTTGCTGGAAGGGCCATTTCTTTTATAATCTGGAATGTTAAATTAATTGTGAAATCAGAGACAAGAGAAAAAGGAATGAACTTGGCTGTTGGGGCATTCTATATGATCTTGTTTTGTAACATTTCCTTTTAAATATTGTAATTTAAGAAAGTATAAAATTTCCAAAGTTTGTTTTTATTCTAAAGGGAATTTTTAATTAAAATTGTTTTGCTATCATTTATGAAATTTGTGAGATTGTTAACTAAGTTATTTGGGGTTACTGTTTTCATGCTAAAGCCTAAAAGGGTTACTCAATTACTGTATGTGGAAAGAAGGAGATAGTGTACAGCCTTATCGGGTTGGTTCTGCCCATTCAAGGACACCAGTATCAGCCTTCTCTGAGGACCTTGGCAATTCTCCTTATTTTGTAAACTTGCCAAGGTCCCTGGAAACCAGAGAAAAGAACTTGTTAGGATTATGCAGTTCCTAGACAATGAACTTAGCTTGCTGAGAATTTGCAAGTGTATAGAAATGATTTTTAATGATTGGCTTTTACACCAGGACAAGTTTAAATTTGAGAAAGAAAGATATTAAGTGAAATCTCTTATGTATGTGAGTCCTGGTAAATCTTTATTGCTTATTGCAATTCTATGAGAGCAAAATTAACTGTTATCTGGCTTTAAGCTGTGATTAGTGAGACTTGCTGTTTGAGGTAAAAGGCTCTTGCGACTATAACTAATTTTGTTTTGAGTTTGAATTTGGATATAGTTGTCTGCGTTAAAATCAGTATCTGAGAGAGATGCCAGTGAATGTGATTCTATACTGGTAACAGGTGAAGGTAAATGTGACTCATTTGGGAAAAAGCTGAGGGGACAACCTTAGCCTCAATCTAGGATGGGATCCTCCTGGCTCAGTTTCCCCATTGTGTTCCTTTGGAAAGGAATGTTTCCCACCTGACTATTCCGGAGTCTGGCTATGAGGAGAAACATACTGCATGATTGGAGAACTGTGACTCTATCTGAATTTAAACAAAGTTAAGGATATTTTATCTTGTTATATTTGATAAATCACATGTCCCTGCTCTTTTTCCTTCTGTAGTAAGTTTCTATAATCAGAAGATTTTGTAAGTACAGTAACAAAGTTGCTAAAATAATTGATTATGGAACATCTTAGATTACTATAGAACTGGGACTGGTGTGCTCCTATGTGTTCCTGTACGAGTTAGGGTCCTTTAATTCTTGGTAATGGTATGGAGACAATTAGGTTTATTTTGTAAATGCCATCAAAGAAACATGGCATGACTAAAAGTTCAAGATTTTACATATATTATACTGTGTTAAAATTGATTATTTAATATATTTATGCATGTACTAGAGCCTGTTATTAACCCCTTAGCAAAATCTCATCCTCCTGGTGAGGAAATTAATAATGGATTTATGTAAAGTATAAGACACTGGGTTCTGAGGTGAATTTCTTAAACATGACAATTGACCATGGTTCCAATTTTGAGTTTGTAAAATGATCAGGGTTATAAGGATTAGAAATGGTAATTTAAAATTGTGCTAAGGTCACTTTTGCAGGAGAATGGACAGAAAGCTGGTTCCTACAGGAAGACAAGATGCTGAGATGCTGTGCTGGAGATGGCTGGAACAAACACTAAGGACCAGAGGACTTCATTGATGATATCCCCTGTCAGACAGCTATATAGGAAAAGACTTTTTGAATTTTAAAGGGACTAATTGCTCAAACTCCCCCTCTAGGGTTTCCTGTTCATAAACTATAAGTAGGTGACTGGGTATATGTTCGATCTTGGAAAGATGAAAAATTAACCCCAAATTGGGATGGGCCCTTTCAGGTACTTTTAACATCTGATACTGCAGTTCGCACCCAGGAGCGGGGTTGGACCCATCACACCAGAGTAAAAGGACCAGTGGCGCCTCCTTCATCTGAATGGACTGCTGAAAAACGAAAGGGCCTCAAACTATATCTATGAAGGAGACTGCCTCCTATGGGCCCTTATCATGATCCTTAAACTTCTTTCATTTCTTATAGTGACTGTTACTGCTGTACCTATCCCTGTACTGTTTCCACAAGAGAATCAGTTTATACAACTTGTGCAAAAGGGTAGGGGAAAGCAATTGGGGATGAGTACATGTGAGTATACCTATTCTTGCCAGATTGGTTACTTTGAAGTTGACTGTTCCCTATATCAAGGTAGATGGAATGCCACTGATATTAAATGCACTAATGGGACACGGATATCATGTAAGAGTGCAAGGTACCTTATTGGTACTAATTACCACACAACCTGCAGATATGTATTGGCAGGAGGGAATCCTCGTTTAAGCTGTAATCTTTCCCAGGAAATTGGTGACTTAGAGCGACTAAATCTATGTAAAGATGATAATAGTATTAATGGTAAACTGAGGCTTCCTTATTATGATTGGGCATGGAGAAATCAAACATGGTCTGGATATTTTAGGAAATTTTGGAGCAAGGAAGATCGTACTAATTTGGATCCAGAGGTGGAAAACTGTAATTGGAAAAAAAAAAATAAACAGCTATGGAAATGTATTTATAAAGATGGGGACCATATACAGTTCCGAGGGGGATTGTTGGGAGACAGGAATATTCAATATTATCCATCAAGAGGAAATGTGAGTCGAATTTTTAGTAAAAAACAACCAGCTTTAAAAGGCCATTATTGGATATGTGGTTTAACTGCTTATACACACCTTCCAACAGATTGGACTGGAAACTGTTATATTGGATTAGTGAGACCTAAATTCTTTTTCTTACCAGAACAAGAAGGGAAGCAGTTAGGGAAACAACTAGATGATGACCTTGAAAGAGATTGGAGGTCAATCGATTCATCAATAGCATCTACAGGAAATGCTAACGGTTGGGGGAATGGTTGGCCCCCCGGAAAGGATAATAAAAGAATATGGACGAGCAACCTGGGCACAAGATGGAAGTTGGGGATACAGGACCCCGATTTATTTATTCTGTTGTAGAAATTATAACTAATCAGACTACCAAAACTACTGATTTACTTGTAACTTATGCCGAGCAGAGCCAGGAGGCTATTCTGCAACATAGACTAGTATTGAATTATTTGTTAGCTGAAGAAAAGAGGTGTATGTGGGAAATTGAATTTGTTAACATGTTGTATAAAACTAGATGATGTAGGACAGGCAGTCAAAAATATTAACAAAGAAATTAGAAAATTGGCCCATGTCCAGATTCAAACATGGTCAACTCCCTTTAACACCACTTGGTGGTCCTGGTTTGGGGGTAGTTGGTGGAAACAACAACTGTGGTTTGTGCTAATAGCTTTTAGTGGGATTATTTTACTTCCTATATGCATACCTTGTATAATTCAATTAGTTACTAAGTTAGTAAAAGATAGCATTGCTAAAATGATTACTACTGCCTCTGATAATACTAGAATGTTGCTTTTGCAGGGACAGGGTTGGGTACCTATTGCAGCATCAGAACAGGATGATCCTGATAGGAATGAAGGAGAGTTAGATAAAATGTGTGAGATGATGTTACAAAATTTTGAAGAGATCTCAGTAAGATAAAAAGTGGAGGGACTGAGTGAGACAATGTGAGATCTTTCAGATGGACTGAGTGTAACAGTTTTGTAGACTGTTACAAACTCAAGGTTGGTTACACTAGCCTGAATAGGCCCAAGTTTCAAGTTCCTAGAAAAACACATGATCTATACTGTTACATTAGTGTTAGGTAATGGCTAATGCTAAATAAGGATAAAATAGCTAGGACTGGTAGTATCATAAAGAGATTCCTTGTTTCTGGGGGGAGATTTTTGCGTTTTAGATTGTAAGGCTGAAATTCCTGTCCAATGGGAATTTACAGCCAGTGGTGGGTGGGTGTCTTTGCGTTAGGACTATATAACCTTTGTTCTGACCTTTGTGCCTCACCTCGCTTCGCTCGGACTGCTAGATGAAGCAGACGCCCGCTTCTCGCGAGAACATAATAAATCTTTCACTTTATACCTAGAAAATCTCTGAGTGTTATTTTTGGGTAACTGTAGCACACAATAGTCAACTCATGCCTCTGCCCTCTGTCTATGTATACTCCTTCTAACTGCCCTAATAATGATAAAATTCTTGGGAGTTATAAGTATCATCTTCCCATGTAGGAATGTAAACAGTTGAACCTTATTGAGTCCCTTATGTTTCCCTTTCCTGTTTAACCTTTTTATGCTTCTCTTGAGTCTTGTATTTTAAAGTCAAATTTTCTATTCCACTCAGGTCTTTTCATCAGCAATGCTTGAAAGTCCTATATTTCACTAAATGTCCATTTCCCCCCCCCCCGAAGTATTATACTCAGTTTTACCGGATAGGTGATTCTTGGTTGTAATCCGAGCTCCTTTTTCCTCCAGGATGTCATATTTCAAGCCCTCTGATCTTTTTTTTTTTGGAGGCAGTTGGGGTAAAGTGACTTGCTCAGAGTCACACAGCTAGTGAGTGTTATGTGTCTGAGGCTGGATTTGAACTCAGGTCCTTCTAACTCCAAGGCCAGAGCTTTATCCACTGTGCCACCTAGTTGACCCCAAAACAGCCCTCTGATCATTTCATATAGAACATATTGTGTTAGCCTGACTGTGGTTTCACAATATTTGAGTTGTTTCTTTCTGGCTGCTTGAAGTAGTTTTTTTCCTTTGGCCTGGAAGCTCTGGAAATTGGCTGTAGTATTCCTGGGAGTTTTCATTTGGGGATCTCTTTCAGGAGGTGAGCAGTAGACTCTCTCAACTTTTATTTTACCCTCTAGTTCTAAAATATCAAGGCAGTTTTCCTTGATAATTTCTTGAAAGATGATGTCTGGGCTCCTTTTTAATCATGGCTTTTAGGTAATCCAATAATTTTTTTTAACTTTCTTCTTTTTTATTTTTTTTAATTCTAGACTCAAACACCAGAATTCAAATATAGAATAGAGAAAAGAAAAAGAAACATATCATAAACTTAAATATTGAAGCTTAAATACAAAGTAAGAAAAGGGGGGGAAAAAGCATGTCATGTGTACAGCAGAACATAAGAGAGGATTCAAAATATCTAGCAATCAATTTTCATTTCAAGAAGGCCTGTATGATAAATGCTACAGGTTGTATTGAAAGCTGTCCAGCTTTTCTTTGCTTCCTTCTAAGTTTTCTTTTGTTCTCTGCTAATCCAATAAATTTTTTTCCTATACAATTTATTTTCCAAGGATGTTATTGACAATAGGAAATGACCCATTGGTACAAAAATATTTATTGCAGAACAGTTTATGATAACAAAAATGTCAATAAATATTGTCCAGTGATTTGGTAATGACTAAATAAATAGTGACTCATGAGTGAAATGGAATATTATGGTGACAAAAGGAATGACAAGTATGAAGAATTCACAGGACTATGGGAAGATCTGTATGAAGTGATGCAAAGTGAAGAATACAACTATATAATTGAAGTCAGAATTAACAAGCAACAAAACTCCAAACCAATGAAAGAAAATTGCAATTTACACATTGAAGTTAAAACATTGTTCCTTTTTTTCTCTTTTTTTAAAATTAATTTATTTTGATTTATCAACAATCACTTCTATAAGCTTTTGAGTTTTAAATTTTTCTCCCCCTCCCTCCCTCCCTTCCTCCCCAAGATAGAGCGTGATCTGATATAGGCTCTACATATACATTCCTATTAAACATATTTTCTCATTAGTCATATTGTAAGGAAGAATTAGAACCAATAGGAGGAACCAGAAGAAAGAGGAAACAAAACAGAACAAAAGAAAAAAAAAGAGCAAATAGTCTGCTTCCATCTGCATTCAAACTCTATAGTTCTTTCTTTGGATGTGGACAGCATTTTCCATCATGAGTCCACTGGAATTGTCTTAGATCACCGAATTGCTGAGAAGGGTGAAGTCCATCAACGTTAATCATTGCACAGCGTGGATGTTACTTTGTACAACGTTCTCCTGGTTCTGCTCACTTCACTCAGCATCAGACCATACAATTCTTTCCAGGTTTTTCTGAAGTCTGCCTGCTCATCATTTCTTATAGCACCATAGTATTCCATTACATTCATATACCACAACTTGTTCAGCCGTTCCCCAATGGATGGGCATCCTCTTAATGTCCAATTCTTGGCCAACAAGAGCTGCTATAAATATTTTTGTACATGTGGGTCCTTTTTCCTTTTTTATGATCTCTTTGGGATACAGACCTAGTTGTGGTATTGCTGGATCAAAGAGTATGCACAGTTTTACAGCCCTTTGGGCATAGTTCCAAATTGCTCTCCAAAATGGTCGGTTTCATTTCACAACTCCCACAACAATGCATTAGTGTTCCAATTTTCTCACATCTTCTCCATATTTATCATTTTCCTGTTTTGTCATGTTGGCCAATGTGATAGGTGTGATGTGGTACCTTGGAGTTGCTTTGATTTGCATTTCTCTAATCAATAGTTAATCTAATAATTTTTAAATTATCTCTCCTTCATCTGTTTTTCAGGCCCATTGTTTACCCCTTTGGTTTCCAGTTCTTTGGTACTACAAAAAAATGGCTGCTATAAACATTTTTTGTACCTATGGGTCCTTTTCTTCTTCCTTTGATCTCTTTGGCATATTGACCCAGTAGTGGTAATTTCAGATCAAAGAATATGCATCATTTAGTGCATAATTTAGGCATGGCTCCAAATTACTTTCCAGAGCGGCTGGAGTGGGAGTCTGGGAGCAGTCTCTTGAGGCCTGAGTAGTGACCTTATTTGACTCAGCTTTTCTCCAGGTCCTAGATGGAAACTGTCAAGGATTGGCCGATGACTAATGTCCTCAAGGAAGATCACTGTCGCTGGGATTGGCACAGCTGGCATGGTGTGTGCTATCAGGATCCTAATGAGTAATTTGGCTAGTGAATTTGCCCTTGTTTAGGTCACACAAGATAAACCAAAGGGAGAGATGATGGCTTTCCAACATGACAGCCTTTTCTGCCAGTTACCAAAGATTGTCTTTGCAAAGACTAGTGTGACTGCAAACTCCAGGTTAGTTGTTGGTACAGGTGGGGCACATCTGCAGGATCCATCTAATTGTAAATAGCTTTAAATTCATTGTTCCCAATATTATCAAATATAGCCCTAGCTTATTGCTTCCCATCTGTTGGATATTTTGACATATGCGACCTGGAAGCTGAGTGGCTCTCTCCCAACCTGTGCTATTGAAGTGGTTGCAATCTGGATTTGGCTACTCTTCCCGCAGGTATGGATGAGTCCTTAGAGAACAAGGCTACTCCATTGTTCTATGTGGAGTGCTGTGAATGTTGGGGGTGTCTCCATCCTGCCTTCAGAACTGATATTGATTGAGAACATTGGCAAGATGTTTGTGAACAGGTAGTTGAAAGTGCTCTCGGTCAAGCTGAAGGGTTCCATGTCTTGAGCCCCCATTAGCTTGTCATTGTGAAGAATCTTAGGAGGGCAGCCTCAGCGTCCCATGTGTCTTGGGACAGAATGGCATTTTGGATGTTGCCCAGGTAAGCCTGACTCCAGAGGCTGAGGCCATTTGAAAGAAGGAGCTGCCATTTTACTGTCTGGGGAACGCGGCAGCGACACTTAAGGGATTGTCCATGACAGACTTTTCAAGTTGGGCGAATCTTTCAGCTGATTAGTGATTCAGTACAAACTATAAAGCCACAAAGGCTCCCTCCTGAAGTGAGAAATGGGGGATGGGGGAAGGCGGCCCCTTCGGTTTGTGAAGCCTATTGTTTGCATATTGAGGCTGGCATGTTGAATGTGTCTCGGTGTCCAAGCTGTCATTTGTGAAGTGCAGCCAGCAGCGCTTTCCCCCTCCCCCCCTTCCCAGAGGGCAGACGTGTCAGTTTCCATACCAAAAGATCTGTGTCCCACAATGCAACCAATTCAGGTGCCAAATAATGAATAAGTTATGAACTGACTTTTTAAAACGAACAGACCACAATAAGTAGAATGGCTAGATTAATGCCTAGCTCCACCAAAAGAAAACTACGGTGCCTGTTTTTCTACAGCCCCTCCACCATTTGTCATTTTCCTTTTTTCTCATCTTTGCTAATAGGGTGTCACATGAAACCTCAGAATTGCTTGAATTTTTCTTTTTCTAATTATTCATGATTTGTACCATTCTCATGTAGCAATTGATAGCTTGAATTTATTCCTTTCAAAACTGCCTCTGTTTTCAGATTTATTTCCAACTCTGTTCCATTGAAACTGGACCACAAAATGCTCCCTAGAGTTGACGCTCATCTCTTGCCTCCTCTTCCTTCTTAGAATCCCTGGCTTCCAGGTGAAGCCAATCATTCTTAAACCTTTTTTGGTGTCATAAACCCCTCTGGCATTCCGGTGAAATGTATAGGCCACTTGTTAGAATAATGTTTTCAAGTGCACAAAATCCCATACACAGTGCTACAAAAGAAACCCATTCTATTGAAAGTTGTCCAAGTATTTTCTAAAAAACCTATGCCTGAAGGCATAGGTCAGGTGCAGCCTACCAGGCCTCTGGCACTTTGTCACTTTTCAAGTTACCTTCTCTTTGTCTGTTCAGATATTAGGTCTTGCTGCCACCCAGGCCAGAATTCTCTCCACTGTACGCTGCCTCTCATAACTACAAAATAAGCAATACAACCTCCCACAAGGAATTACCAATGAGCCACTCATTTGAGGCCCCATAGTTTGGAGCAGGGGTGGGGAACTTGTGGCCTCGAGGCCACACGTGGCCTTCTAGGTCCTTGGGTGCAGAGTCCAAGTTTGACAGAACAAACCATTTGGTGAAGGGGATTTGTTCTGTGAAGTTTGGATTCAGTCCAAGGGCCACACTTGAGGACCTGGAGGGTCACACGTGGCCTGCAGGTGGCCGGTTCCCCCCCTCCCTGGTTTGGACATTTGTGGTGGCCACTTAGGGCCTGGTCTGGGAGCTCAGGGAGGGAGGTGGAAATTACCAGCAGGTGGATCTCATTAGTGCTCAGGCTTTAGCTTAGGAGGGTGAGAGTCCTACAGATCTTGGAGGGCATGCATTCATAGGCCCAGGGGGATGAGCTTCAGCTCCAGGATCTGACCAGACCAGGCCCATGTTCCAGGTCTTGGCCATGGTGGAAGTTAGAAAGATGTTTGTGAAGTGCTAAGCACACTGACTGGTACATAGTAGGCTCAGAATAAAGGCTTGTTCTCTCCCTTTCCCCTCCCCCAATGTTTCCTCCACCTCCCCACCTCTTCCTTTGGGGCTAGGACCACAGGCCTGCTGACATTTTCTCGTTTCAGCCCCTGCCCTGAAGGCTTCCCTGCTCTTGGCTCCTGGCTTCCTCTCCCCCGTAGATGCCCCAAATGGGAGTGCTGCTCCCATCAGCTTTCCCAGGCCAGGCCTTCCTCTGGGCCCCTGACCACCTTGAACTGCCTCCTCCCACTTTGAGCATCTCTGCCATTTTCGGTAAAGCTGCCCCAGCAGAGTCAGGAGCACTCAGAGGCTTGGGCTGAGGGCCTCCTCACAGTGGGACAGTTTCACGTCATAGCCTGGGCTGGGCTTGGCTTGGCTAGGCACCACTTCCTGAGAGGAAGCTCAGGGGCCCAGGAGCCTCACTCTCCCTCCCAGCCTTGTCTTCCCCCAGAGCTGAGAAGTCCTCCCCTAGCAGCTTCTTGGTGTTACCAGGTACAGCTTCCCTTCCTCTGGCTAGCCTTTCTGTCCTATTCCAGATCTTGAGGGGTGGGGAAACAGCAGCTTCTGGGGGAACTTAGTACTTCTTTCTACCCACCAATCCCTGTACCTCTGCCCCGCCCCCTGGCAGCAGGCACTTTCTCTTCTGAGGAAGAGAGAGGCCCCATTTCCTTCAGTGCTTAGCCCCCAGGCCTGGCTCTGCAGAGACAAAGATGTCTCAATTACTGCCCTGCCCACCCCCATTTCTAGGGTCCCTTGGCAGGTACTGGAGAGGGAGGCTTCATATTTTATCACTCCAACCCTAAGGTCCCTGGGCAGGATGGAGGCCCAATCTCCCAGCTCTCTGGACCCTTTCTTTTACACTTGGTTTGAGGCAGGAAGGTCCTGTTTCTCTGACTGGTGCTCCCCCCCCCCCCAATTCCTGAGACAGCACAAGAGGATTAAACGTACATTCTATGTCTGGGGCATTGGGCACGGCTCTCCCTTCTCACTAGTATCCTTTCCCTCTGTCAAAGGAGAAGTAGCTAAATGAAGTTTGAGCTCTCAACATGTGGGTCCATGTCGTTGCACATTTAGGAGAGGAGGGAAGAACTGTTTGCCTGCTTCTTGGCACTAATCCCCTCTAGGGGTCAGGGTCCTTTGCCTGCCTCTCCATCCAAGTGGCAGAGGACAGAAGAGGATGGCTTTCAGCTCCCCACTCTTAGTTTTCTTTCAGGGACATAGCAGTGCCCAGCCAAATTGGTCATGGCTGCAATGTATGCCTCGGTGCAGAAGAGAGGTCACACTTCAGGCCCAGCAGCAACCTGTGACCCTGCAGAAGCACAACTTGAGGGGGCTGTGTATAGCACTGTCAAGCCCAGGGCCCTTCGGGGTGGGGCTGGCACCCCCACGGAATACACTCCAGTGGCCTTCCCCAGCTCAGCAGCCTTGGAAAGCCCGGCATGCTCCTCACCAGGTTCTGGGAGGCCCTTGTTGTCCCCGGTAAGTGCCAAAGCAGGGAGGCTAAGGTCAAGCTGAGCAGAGCGGCTTCCCAAGCCCCCTCCAAACAGCTGCCTTCCTTCTCCCTAGGTTGTCGCCCTCAGCACCGTAAGGAAAGGTAAGTATGGGACAGGAATTTGGAGTTGGCTGGAGGTGTAGACCAGTTGAGGCCCCATGTAGGGGTTGGGGAGTGGGTACTTCCCAGGAGCCTCAGAGTTTTGAACTGGGCTTCCATGGGATCTTGCCAACAGCTAGCAACCCCTCCAGGAACTGCCCTGGGCCTGAGGCCTATGAGGACGTAACAGACATTGCAGTTCCAAGCCTGGGCCCCAGTGGCCTCCAGCCCAGCAGTGCTCTTGGTGAGTTGAACCATGGATTACACACCTTTTTCTCTGCCACCTCTCCCATCCTCCCAAACCTTCCTCAGGTCTCAACCCTTACCTCTTCCCACAGGCTTCAACATTCGAATTGGGAAACCAAAAGGTCCCCGGGATCCACCAGCTGAGTGGACTCGAATGTAGGAAGCCTGGCACAGATTCCTGCTTTTCTGCCTAGAGCCCAGGCCCATTAAGGGAAACAGAGGGTGGCAGGTGGGCAATCAAATTTGGGTTCACTTTTCACAATAAAGTTTGCCCATCCTGAATGAGGTGTCCTTGTAGCCCTACCTCCCACTGCTTTGCGGTCCTGGGCCTAAGGGTATACAATGAATCTTGGCCGCAAGTCCTACTATGCAACTATCTAGTGGATCCCTTGAGGTATCCCCCATCCCCTCCACCCTACTCTGGCTTGACCCCTAAGGAGACGGTAGTTTTGATGGGGTGTCGCCCTGGCAGGGGCTATTTCTCCTCCTCCTGCCTCAGCCCTGGGGCTGTCCCAACCCCTGCCCCACTCCCAATTCAATAGCATTGAGGCTTTTGTCCAGAACAACATCCTGGTGTCTGTGCATCAATGACTTAGACCAAAAAATAGAGGGCACACTCATCAAATTTGCAGATTATACTGATAATGTCTCAAAATATCTTGACAAGCTTGAGCACTGGACAGAACGTAAAGAGGAAATTCAAGAAAAATAAATGTAATCTTCAGTTGAAAAAAAATCAACCCCCCAAGTACAAAATGGAAAAAACAAGCTTAGGTAAGCAGTTTGTCTGAAAGAAGATGAAAGGGTCTTAGTGTACCATAAGGTCTGCATAAGTACTTCCTTCACGTTGGACTGCACAAAGGGACTGAGCTTCCAGGAAGAGCTCCTCCTTAGAAGGCAACTGCAGAGCCCCTCTGGCCTCATCAAGTCATAGCTAGAATACTACATTCAGTTGGAAGCCCCATTTTTAAAATAAAATTCTCTTTGATAAAGTAGAAAGGGCACACGGGAGGCAAGCAGGTTGGAGAAGACTGGGGGAGGAATGCCACAGAAGGATTCGATTTGTTCTGCTGGGCTGTGAAGGGCTGAATCAGAGCACTGAAGAGCAGAAATTTAGGTTTAATGGGACAAAAGCTTTCTTAAGGATAAGAGGCTGCCTTGGGAAGTCAGAGTACCAACCCCCCTTAGAGAGGGTCAAGCTGAGGAGGGGGTTCAGTGGGGAATCTACCTATGGACATGGGTTAGACTAAATGGCCATGCTAAAAAAAAGAAAAAAATTTAAATTAACCCCCTACCCAAGCCAGGTAACTCCTCACTATCCCTTCCCCTAGGCCTTCGGAGGCCTCAGAAAATATGGCAGAGAGCTCCCCAACTTGGACTCCAGCTCCCCAAGATCGATCCCTGATCCAGAAGATCCCAAATAGTAGCTCCATAGCCTGGGTTCCTGTACAGAGGCCAACTCCCTCATTTCCATCCAGCCCTGACCCTGTGAACAGGTTTTGAGACTGTGGTATGACCCTGGGGCTCTCCGACTCAAATGCCAATGTTCCCCAGCTTCTCAATTCAGAGAACCGCTGCCTGTGTCTGAGCCAGAGTACGTCAGAGAACAGCTTTCAGTGTCCACCATAGTAAATCCAAAAGCCTTTGGAACCAGCCAGCTATAATGCTCATCCCCACAGTGCCATGAGCATAAGGTCCCAGAAACAGAGAGGTGCAGGAGATGAGTAACTTTAATGACAGCAGTAGAGCTGGCCTCTCCTCAGGCAAGGTGGGTTTCCTCAGGTTTTGTCTTGGTCTGCGGTCCAGTGTATGCTCTGGTGCTAGGTTTGTAAATCCTTTCCTAAACACTGAGGAAGGTCCTCTTTCGGGCTGTGTGGGTATATGGGTGCCAACGCCACTCCACATCTGCTGTGGCTTCGTGCTCCAGCGTGCCGAGGCAGATCATATACACTGCAAAACCAGAGACAGAGGTGTAGGCTTTGGTCCTAGGCTGAGTTATACTTACTCTTTCCTAACTTTTGTCATTTTAAATTTGGACCCACAGGCTCAGTTCCCTGGCCTGTTTTCCCCAGACCTCTTTGTACTCACATTTCATCTCAAATCTGGGCCCCACTTCTATCAGCTCCACTGCGTTGTGATCTGGCTTCTGGTACACATGATGCCTAGAAGAACAGAAGGGATGTAGATAATTTTGGCCCTTGGGGACACACCTACCTATCTTTTGCCATCCAGAGATAGGCCCAGATTTACCGAAAAGAAATGTAGTCATCCTGGTTGGCAAAGGTAATGATTCGGTGGCTATCATCCTTGGGTACTGGGAAAAGGTATCGGAGAATATTTGAGACCTGGGGAAGGACAACATGTTACAATAAGGGTTCTGACCTGGAGAACAGTGTGTTTTCTCTTCTTCCCTTCTATGTTGCCAGAGAAGTGACATAGAGAGCATTCCTTGACCATCAACTATCCCTTGAGGTGATAGTTCTCCAGCCCCAGGACTTACTCGCTGTCCAAGGCGGGAAGAGAAACCATGAAAGATAAGGTGGGGAAGGGCCTCTGATGCAGTGCCAAGGTCAGGAACATCATGCCGCATCACCACATTACACAGTGTGAAATATGCAGTAGGCCCAAAGGGCAGGTGGCTCACGATGAGGCCGACTGTTGGGAAAGACAAGGATGTAGTAAGTATGGAGTGAGTGTGAGTGTGTGCGTGTGGCCAGGAAAAAAAAAAGTCATCTAGCCTCCTAAGGCCAGGCACCCTTCCTACCTGGTGAACTTGGGTCCATCCCTTGTACTTACCTGGTGTCCCTCGGTGCTCATGTACCAGCAGCAGATCTGTGACTCCATTAGCTTTACAAGCGCGGACAAGAGCACCCATTTCATGTCGACCCCGGTTCATTCTCTGAGCACCTGGGAATATCAGTTTCAGCTCCTATGTCAAAGAACAAGAGATAAGGAATTGGGATGGATCTCAAAATGACATTTCCCTGACATCTAGCCTGACTCACAGACCTTGGCAAACATCTTGAGCCGAGAGCTGGGGTCTCGAGAGGTGGTGATCATGATTTTGGGGTCTTCTACACCTGCCCATCGGTATTCATCATCTTGGTGGCCCAAAACACCTTCCGGTAGAGGAAGAAACAGAAGCGATTAAGGAGAACTTCTTGGAGATCCTAGGAGAAGGTGGCCCGGGCCCTGTTCTCACCTTCACCTCCAGCGTCATCAAACTCCAATGCCCCCTGGAGCGTCAGGGCTTCCCTTCGGAGCTCAGTTGGGATCGGTTGATTCTCTGGAGGAAAGGGAAAGAGCCAATGAGAAGAAAACAGAAGCAGGGGGAGGGAGGGCTGAGGGGCGGCGGGCCCTCTGGACTGTCCCTACCATCGAGGGCTCTCTTGAGCCTCAGTTTCTTCTCCTCCAGAAGATGCTGCTTCTGCTCCTGGGCCTTGCGGTACAGATACTCCCGGCGCAGGCGGGCCTCGCGTCGAAGCTGCCAAGAAACAGGGGTGGAGGGGGGTCGCGGCAAAGCTCCAGCACGGCGGTCCCCTCCCCGGGCCCCTCCCTCCCTCCATCTCCCCCCCATCCATCTCCCCCCCCCAACCCCCGACCACGGGCGAACTCCAACCCCAGGCGCCGCCGGCTCCCCACCCACCCCACCGAGCCCCAGCACGGACCATGCCTGCAGCCTGCCGGCGACACTCCTCGTGCAGCCACTAAAAGCCAGCACACTTGCGCGACCCCGCCCTCCCGTCAAGGGAAGGGGGCGTGGCCATACCGTGTGCGCGCGGACCAATCCTCCCCTCTCTGGGCCGACCATCAGTCGGAGGGAGGCGGGGCCGAAGGGGGGAAGGCCTAGCGAGAGCCAATGAGTTCCGGCGCCCTTGTCGTCGTCTCGGCCCGCCCCCGGCGCCAGCTTCCGCTCGCAGCTGCCAGGGCCTCCTGCTTCAAGATGGCGCTCTAGGTCGTCGCGCGGTGGCTGCCGGGCTGATTGGCTGGCTGCGGGGGAAGGGGCGGGGCAGACAGAGGAACTCTCGGTGGTCCCCCGGAGCCATGGCGCCGATCAGGGACCTGCAGAGCGTGACGGGGGCCCCCTTGGGGGCCGGAGCCGTGCGAGGCCTGGGCGCCCAGCTCGATGCGCACTGCTTGCTCAGCTGCTCCTGGAGCTCGAGCAGCTGGAAGGAAACCGGGCGGCACTGAACGCCCGAGTGGAGGAGGTGCGGGGCAGGTCGCGGGGGGAGACTGAAGCGGGGGGAGCGGAGAGAAGGGGCTCTCCGAGCCTTGACCCTAACCTTGATCCCTCCCTCCTACCCTTCCCCCCCCCCCGCTTTGGTCCTAACCCTTCCCCTCCTTGACCCTAACCTTGATCCCGCCCCCTCCTCCCCTTGGCCCTAACCCTGATCCCTCCCCCCTACCCTTCTCCCCGGGCCTTGGCCCTAACCCCTGATCCTGGCCTCCCTGAAGGGCTGGTTCTCCCTCTCCGAGACTTGCTATACCATGGGTGCCAAGGTTCCCTTCAGTATGCGTCCTCTAAGGCTCCCCTCGTCCAGGTCTGCACCAGGTAAGCTGAGAAGATCGGGGCTCCCTCGGAGGGGAGAGGCTCAGGAGGCAGGGTCCTGACCCGACTCCGAATCTCCTTCAGTGAGCCTGAGCCTGGTCGGCCTGAGTTCCAGGTGATTTTCACTAGACCTGGGGTAGAAGGACTTAAGTCTTTGTTTCCTCCAGTGCTTCGAAGGCGGCTGCAGCCCACCTTGCCAACGCCTGCCACTGTGGCATATCCTGAGCGGGATCCCCTGACCTGGTTTGGGATCTTGGGCCCCAGAGTCTTCGACAGGCCCAGGGAAGTTTCCGGGCCGGTGAGCCACCCTGAGGGATTGCCCAATTGTTTGAGGGGAGCCCAATGGCCTTTTTTCCTTTGATCACACTAGGTACCTCCCTCGGTGGTGGGAGTGTGAAAGACCCACAGAATTTCACACATTCTGTCAAATTTCTTTGCTTCGTTGTTTGGTTTTCTTTTGTTTCTAAGGAGGTGTGTTGGGAGCAGGTATCAGGAAATGCTGCCTTTAACTGACTATCCTTTCCCTTCCACCCACCCACCTCACCCTCCTGTTCTGCGCTGTCCAGCTCTGCTGATAGCTGGGGAGATTGCTGGGCTCCAGAGCCGAATCGAGTGGGGAAGAGCCCAGATTCAAGCCCTGTAACAGGAGAAATAGAAACTGCTTGATCAGCTGAAGGTGGCATGAACACATTCTTTAACATTGGGAGTCCCAATAAATGATTTAGTTTGATGACTATCCACCTAGTACCTTTCTGGCCTATGCCTTCAAGTCCTTCCTAGACCTTGACTGTTACTTATCCTGTCCTCCCCCTGCCTCCCTTGGGAATTGCATAGGCTATGAAGCTCAGTTCCCTCTTCCTGACGTTTAAAGCAAAAAAAAGAAAGGAAAGGAAATTCCAATACTATTACAGAACTCGACAAAATCACAAGGTGGGTGAGAGTGGTAATAAGTACAAGACCTCAAGAGAAATGACGACCAAAAGTGGGGGGGGGGTGATGGATGCCTGTCAGGAGGAAACAGAGGTGCTTCCAAAAGCCATGAAACCCACTTGTAAGTAACACGAACAATAGATTGCTAGAACAAGACCCCTGAAGGAAACAGACACATTCTAGCGTTTGTTAAGCCACAGAACACCAAGGGGGTGGGGGGAGAGAGAGCTCCCAGCTTCTACAAAAACTGTAGGGAGAACTGGAAAACTCTGGTGGCAGTTGGGCTCAGACCAGGGGTTTTCATCCTCAAAGCCCCGAATGAGTTTATGACCTAAATAACAAAAGATCCCCTCCTTAGGAGTCACAAGCAGCTAAATTCGCCTTTTGAGCTTGCCACTTAAGGATAGAATTCTTAAGTAAAATAGAGTACTATAGAAAGAAAGGTCCAAAATTCTCCCTTGCCTTCTCCTGGTCAAAAGCCCCTTCACCCTTATCAGTGTCCCCCCTGGATCTGATTCTCTTGGCTTCTGGCCCAGACAGCCATTTTCAGCTTCATCTCTAGGGTTTATCCTGACCAGCTAAGGTCCTCAAGCACTGGGCCTGGGGCTGCCTGAAGAAGCTCTTAGCCTTCTGTGTCCTATAGTGACCTAGGGCTGAGGGCTTTGGGGCAATCTGCAGATGCTCCTCAACTATTTACTGTTTGAATAAATATGGGCAGAAACAGGGCTTGAAGGAGTGAATTTAAACTCTAGTAAGGGACTTCTCCAGGAGTTCATTGAACAAACACTTAACTTGGCTACCATTAACTTTGGGTCTGAGGATACCTAGATAACTAAGAAGGTTGAAAAATTGAAAGAGTGTGATCAGAGAGGGACTTGTGTTTGTAGCTGAGGTGGGGTGGAGGAGGTCAGGGCTAAAGTGGATTGGGGAGCTGGTGCAGTTTGGGTCAGTTTGTATGAAATTAGGAGTCCTTGGGGAGGGAGGAAGGAGTGCCCTGGAAGGGGAAGATATTAACACCTCAATTGGGTGATAAATTTCTATCCTAGGAATCACAGAGGATGAGACCCTGCTGACTGAAGGTTGTAGAAGGGGGGTGGGGGTGTTTCAGGGGGACTGGCTCCTCTGATGTGAGGATTTGCCAGGCCCTTTTCAGAGCTGCTCATCCACTTAACTCTCACCTGTGACTCCAAGAAGCTGGAGCATTTGCAGCAGCTATACTCTGCAATACTGTCTCATCAGATGGGCTAAACCAGGTTGAGGGTAAAAAAAACCAACAACAGCAACAACAAAACACGACAGGTCAGGGGCCAGTGGATAGAGCACTGGCCATGAAATCAGGAGGACCTGAGTTCAAATTTGGCCTCAGACTAAACATTTGACACTTACTAGCTGTGTGACCCTGGGCAAGTCACTTAACCCCAATTTCCTAAAAAAAATTTTTTTTAAAGTTAAAAAAACCCAAACACGACAGGTCTCAAACTCATTAGTTTGAGTTAGAGGGATGTTTGCCCCAAGTGTGTGAAGACTTCCCCTGGTGGAATGAGGGCCATTAAGGCAGCCGAGCAGGTGCTGTGGAGTGCTTAGAGCTAGGTCAGACATGGAAGATGCAACCTGGGCCATCTTGACTTTTGTCTTGCTACCATCAGTCCCCTATTGAAGGGCAGGAATGGGAGACTGAGCAGGAGGAAGAAGGAGCTGTGCTCCAGCTTGCCTGGAAAGTACTCAGGCTGAATAAATCTCAGAGGTAGGCTGGAGCCAAATGGTGGAGGGGCAGGCAGTCAATGAAAGCAAGAGTGGGTGAATGGATGAGTAGTTAAATGCACGAAGGAAAAAAAAATTAGTAAACATTTGTGAAATGCCTATTGCGTGCCTGTGCACTGTGGATTCAAAGCCAAAAGAGAAATCTGCTTTGACCTCTTTCTATATCTACTGAGAACTAGTGAGGACAGCTCACCATGACAGCCAGGCCCCAATGTCACAGAGCTAGGACAAGTCTGAAGACAGATTTGCACCACAGTCTTTATGACTCCAAACCCACCATGGAACCTCCCCACCTCTCCCCTTATGAAGTGCCTAGGAGACCCCACGGCACACAGAGCACTGGGCCTGGAGTCAGGAAGACCTCAATTTCAGTTGCCACCCGCAAGTAAGTTCGCCTCAATTTCCTGATCTGTAAAATGGGGATAGACAGCATCTGCCTCCAAGGGTTGCTGTGAGCGGCCAATGAGATCCTATTTATAAAGCTCTTAGCATCTGGTAGGTGCTTATGTATACCTGCTTCTCTACTTCCTCATTTCAGTGTCATGGCCTCCTCCCTCCTTCCCTTCCTGGGGCAGTGTAAGGAAGAAGTTTAGGGATGAATCCCCCCCCCCCTCGAAAGACACTCCAGAGCTAAGCCTGGCGGATCTGTCACTGGGTGCTCTCCGTAGAGCCCGGAGCGGATGCCGGGATGCCCGAGCGCGCTTTGGCCTGGCCTTTCCTCAAGCAGAGGGAAGGCTGGGGGGCGGCGGGAGTCGGGGCAGGCGCGGGAACTCAGCGGCAGTACGCCCAGGGGCCTCTGGGGGTGTTTTGCATGCCGCAGCATTCTTCGGGAAACGCTACACGGATCACAGGAGCTCTTGTTTTCACCCTTCCCATATGGTCTAGCGGTTAGGATTCCTGGTTTTCACCCAGGCGGCCCGGGTTCGACTCCCGGTATGGGAAAGCTTGAGGTTTCTCTTTTTGTTTTTTTCCTTAGAGAGCTCGGCGGGATAGCGGAAGGCGCTTGGGTCCAGGTGCAAAGAAGGAGGCGGCAGGTGAAGCCTTCTAGGAGGAAGGGGGGCATGAGGCAGAGCGTGTGGCCTTAGGAAGCCGCAGTGGGAGCCAGGGAGGAAGAAGGGGTCGCGGGAAAAGGAGGCCACTCCAGGCTGGTGCTGGGAATTGAACCAGGAGTCCTAAGAAGGCCATAGAATGCTGTAGTCTAGCAGATCTTATTCAAGTTAGCTCATCTGTAAAATGGGGCAGCGTTGAGAGCAGCCTCCTCCCAGCGTTGTCGTGAAGAGTGGAAAAAGGCTTGCCTGGTGCCCGGGGCGGCCTCAGAAGCGTTGGGGGTGGGTAAAGAAGACGTTATGGCGCGCAAGCCTCGATGTCCCCTCCCCAACGGAAGGGGCTCCATTCGGCAACCCCTACCCCTCCAAAAGCCCCAGGCCCTCCCGTCTGGCCAGCGGCCAAAAAGAGCACCCTACCTTTTCCCATACCGGGAGTCGAACCCGGGCCGCCTGGGTGAAAAC